AGTTTTATTAATGGAGGGACACCTGGGTGACTCAGTTGGTTGAGCATCTGACTATTGATTTGGGCTCAGGTCATGAGGTCGAGCCCCTTGTTGGGCTCCGCGCTCAGCAGGGAGTCCGTTTGAGGTTCCTCTCCTCCTCCCTCTGCCCCCGCCCAACTCCCACAAGCACATATGTGCCTGCGTTCTCTCTCTCTCTCTCAAATAAAGCTTTAAAAAAAAAAAAAGGCATCTGTGCCTATGGGCTGCATTTCCTAGAAACTTGACTTTCCTTTACTGAGGCTCCTCAAACTGAATACAAATTTGGCTTCCCGCCTGGCGGAAACCTCCCTACCTAATCTGCTTCCCTTATTAACTATTAAGTTGCTGAAATGGCAGGTTGACAGCATTCTTCAAAATGTGTTTTTGTAGATCTGCACCACCTCATTCGCCTTCTCTGGTAGTCCTGGAGGATGGCACTGTTTGGCCAGCAGTGCAGGCAGAGGGCGGGATTGTCATCTGACAGGCTCCTGCTGTCTTAGTGACCACCAGGCTGGCCCTCCGCTGCTTCCATAAGTCTTTGTCTCCCATTCCAACCTGGGAGATGCTGAAAAATTACCAAATTAAATGAAGTGTTGCACCCGTTAGGTGTTTTCTTCAGCTGCTTCATGTTGTGGCTGTGAAGATGGACGCCAAGGGAGCTGCTGCCATTTTGGTACTCCAGAATTAGACGTGATTGCCCAACCCAGGACCCACAGAAATGCTGTTTTTCTTGGGGTGACACCAGCTCCAGAAGCCTGGGTGGATGGTGGCAGACGGTTGTGGCTCATGATGGATTGAGTGTCCCAGAGATCCTCCTGGGGGCAAAGCAGAGATGGTGGCAGGCAGGCATTTCTTTGCTCTCTCCTCAGGGGTGGAAACTTCCCTAGTCTGAAGCCCACACCTGTTCTCTGAACTCCACATGAGTCTTCCCTGTCAGTTCGAGTGAACATTGATTCATTTCCTTTTCTGTCCTACATGTTCCGTATTTAGTCCCCTGCTTGTCCCGGGGTTGGCAGGTTTGGCCTAAATTATCTTTATGTTTAAAGAGTAGGGAAAGCGGTGTTTGACTTTAATTTTGTGTTTCAGGCAGACCTCCTCCAGACATCTTTCGTTTTAGCTTAGGAAAGCAGTGGCTACCTTCATGGATTTGTGGATGTGAGGGTTTCACGCTACTGGCTTGTTTCCCTTCTGTGTCATATTTGGTGTCAGTGTCCTGTTCCCTTCCTCTGTGCCAAAAAGATAAAAACACTGCTGAGAAATCCATATTTGTCACAGTGGAGTTAAGTTGTAGGAGGACAGCAGTAGGAACTTTAATGTTTTATTCCCAGATATAAGTTGATTAGGGTTGTTATGTTTTGTGTAGAGTTTTTGGAGGCGTTGCCCTTTCTTAGCATGTCATGTGATTTAGTGGTGATAATTAGGCAGAAACTTGTCTTCCCTACAGATGCCAAGATTATAGAGGGACTTACTCTCACCAGAGACCAGATGACAGCATCCATAGATATTTTTAGAATGGGTCTCATCATTTGGCATCCCCATTTTATTTTCCTTGCATCAACAGTCTGATTTCAAACATATTTATTGGGCATGGATGGGGAAGAGAGGAGATCTTCTCCCCATCAATGAAAATCACAGATGGGACAGGACAACATTTTCTGTTTTTGTTTTTTTTTTTAAGGACATTTTTATATTCATTATTCGTTGGCCTATTGTCTAGTGACTGCAAAGTGATAGCTATAATTCCCTTCAGCTATATGCTTCCTTTTCCTTCCAGAAGTTTTGCTTAATATGATGTATTTTTAAACTTAGAATCAGCATCAGCATACTTAAACTTCTGTTCAAGTAATCATCTTACTTTAAACAATGTCAAAAATGCGGGAGCTTCATTGAAACCACCACACCTGTACCCAACCTAAGTATCATTAAATTCCCAGCTCAGTAGCTGTGTCATCATTTAAAGTGGTCCTTCTATTCTCTGTCATTGGTGGAGTCAGATACACATGTGCAAATGGTGAGTCACCAAAGTGGCTAAAAATCTAAGGCAGATAAGGAGCTGTGTTCTTTGGGACTATTTTTAATCATAAGGTCTTCCTAGTGAATGGTGATTCTGGTGTATCTTTTAGAAGAATGCTTGTATTTCTCTTCAACATTTATCTGATTTCTTTATATTTTCACAATATCTCATGATCTGTTTGCTTTCTGTCACCTTTCTGTCCTGTGGAGTCGGATTTCCTTATTGCATTTATCCTTGTGAGAGATTCCCCGGAAGCTGGGCCTCTTCTTTCCTGGCTCCCCTCTAAGAACACAAGGTGTCCCTTGCAGGCTAAGAGGCATGGCCTGGGAGGACCCCGGGGAATGCCACAGACACAGGGGACCCTAAGCCCATTCTGCAGAAATGGAAGCAGTCCTGATCAGTGCGTCTCCTTTTTAATGATGATGTTCCCTGAAGATTCTGGGCCTTTTGATGAGCGAATGTGTTTGGCCTAAGGATTGTTGTTGCTTGTTGCTCTAGACTGCCCAGTGTGGGCCTCCTGCCCCTGGTTTTCAGAGCCCATGCCCTGTTCTGCTTAGAATGATGCCATGTTGGGGGTTATAGGTGCCCTGTGCCTTCTTTCCCCCTGTGCGGACCCAGCTCCAGCATTAGAACAGGCTGTGTGCTCTGCCTCTGTACTTGGGGAATGAAGTGTGTCACCTTCCCAGTATGCACTGGTTTCCATGGCTGAATAATTAATACTAGAGGGAACTAGGATGGGGTCTGAATTAGGTAATGCTTTAAAGCTTCTCTCTTAGCACCTGGGGACCACAGTCCCTGATGACTAATTGCATAGTGATGTTAGATTGTGGTTTATTAAGTGTTATTGTGAAGGGAAAAACTGAATACCCTTCCAAAGGACCATGTCTGTACCCTTATCCATTCAGTCCTCAGGGGTCCCAGGTAGAATAGCACTGGCTGGCTTTAGGAGGCTAATTCTTTATGGATGCTTTGATCTGGTTTCTATTTTAACTGCTTTTTTTTTTTTTTTAAAGTAATCTCTAGGCCCAACGTGGGGCTTGAACTCACAGCCCCGAGATCAAGGGTCACATGCTCTGCTGACTGAGCCAACTAGGTACCTGTTTTAGCTTTTTCTTTTCTTTCTTTCTTTCTTTCTTAGGTTTTGTGGGGGTTTTTTGTTTTGTTTTGTTTTAAGATTTTGTCAGCGAGCGAGCATGTACACAAGCAGGGGAGCAGCAGGCAGAGGGACCAGCAGTCCCCCCACTGAGCAAGGAGCCCAATGTGGGACTCTGTCCCAGGACCCCGAGATCACGAGACGCTTAACCAACTGAGCCACCCCGATGTCCCTGTTTTAGCTTTTTTCTTGCTCTGAAATCAACAAGTCCAGGATAATATTGTCTAATACCTTTACAAAGCAAAAAAATCCCTCAGCCAGGGAAAATAAATACTGGGGATGGGTGGGGGGAAAGAGGGCCTTTTTTTCCTTCTTTCTTATTGCTGCCTCTGATAAAAACCCCCAAGAGCTTCAGTTTGGAGCTGTAGCGAGGGTAATTGTGACCATGGGTATGTAACATTACCAATGCTACGCCCGGCTATCTTTCTGAATATTGGTAGTGAAAGGTGAGATGGCCAGCCAGCCCAGCCACAGAAGAGATTGAAGTCCTAAGTACATTTGTGAAAATCCCAAATGAACCTATAATATCTGGTCTAAAAAGTGGGAAGCAGATGTGTGTAACGTGTATGTGAGCTTACTGGTGAACACTTCATGACTTGCTTACCTTCTCTGATGAGAAGGTGGTGAGTTCAGCTTGTTTCCCTCCTGCTTCTCTATTTCGTGGCCTAAAGCCATTTTTTTCCCTACCTTGACAGCTGACACTGTCTCCATAAACAAAAGGTCTTATGTCTTGAGGTTTGTTGTGTTGATTCCTTTAGCTACATCTCTGTGAGTATACTTTTTTTAGTCCTTTAACTTGTCTGGGCTCAGAGGTCTCATGAAGTCTGCTCAGACGTGTAAATTCAGAGGGTCTGAGAGGACGTGCCTCCCATTGAAGACTGTTGATGGCAAAAATAATAATAAATTGTTAACTGTTAAAGGGATGTTTTGTGTGGGAGGGGTTTTTGGCCATATGTGTGTGTTACATATTTTTCTTTCTTTGCAGACTTTTAATAGAAAAAAAAAATTCCTACACAGTCCACTTAGAGATTGCTTATTCCTTTAATAAGCAAGGGGAGTCAAAGTGATCTCCAACCGGTGGTACAGACTGAGTAAGCCTTTGTGGAAAGTGGCCATTTCAGCTCCCCGGTACTCATGGTAAACAAGGTTGGTTAGTCCATGTAGCCACTGGGAGAGAACCAGAAAAGCATAGCTGGTCTGCTTAGGGTGACCAACTTTTCTGGTTGTAGCTTGAAAATCCTAGAGCAAAATCCCATCTGCACCCTGGACGCCTAACTTAAAAGGACCAACTAACAGGGCTTCTGGGTGACTCAGTCCATTAAGCATCTGACTTTTGGTTTTGGCTCAGGTCATGATCTCAGGGTCCTGAGATCAAGGCCCATATTGGGCTCTGCACTCAGCATGAAGTCTGCTGCTTTTCTTCTCCCTCTCCCCAATCGCACACTTGTGTGGGCTCTCTCAAATAAATACATAAATAAGTCTTAGAGATTAAAAAAAAGAAAGGGCCCACTAAAACACCCCTAACTTGCCTCTCTTTGTTAACTTCCCAAAATGAATGACCTCATTTCCTCTAGGCTTTTTCAACTTGAGAGCATCATATAATCGAGCAGAAAAATAAGGTAAGTAGTCTCCATGCTTTTTCCTTAGGTTTTCAGACCTTTGAAGCTAGTGTAGCAAAACAGCTTTAGTGTGAGTACCCTTAGTTTGTAGGTGAGGTGAGGAGACAGGAGGCTGGTGAAGCGTGAGCCAGAGGGGCCTACGATTGCTGTTTGAATGTCCTTAATCATCTCTGGTTTTTCTTTTCTCCTCCTGCAGACCCTCAAACTGACACAAGACCTACAGAGAAACCCTTTGCCAAATCTGCTCTCAGCAAGTGGACAGTGATACCGTTTACAGCTTAACACCTTTGTGAATCCCGCACCATTTTCCTAACCCAGCAGAGACTGTTAATGGCCCCTTACCCCGGGTGAAGCACTTACCCTTGGAACAGAACTCTCTATATAAAGTATGCAAAATCTTCCTTGTACAGGGTCATGAGCCACCTGCCAGCGAAGGACAGCACCCTGTCAGCACCACCCACCCTCGTTCGGAGCACGCCGTGAGCTCCTGTGGGCGACTCTGTGGTGTATTCATATCACGATGGTTTATGGGATGTTTTAAGTGTCGTTTTTGTGTTTGTTTTCCTTTGACTTTCTGAGTTTTTCACATGCATTAACTTGCAGTATTTTTATGTTAAAATGTTAATCATCCTTCCCCTGGCAAATTTAAAAACAGAAGGAAAATGTTGTACCAGTTACTAGTCTAGCTTTGGGCATCACAAGCATTTGAGCTCTTGGAACTCCATAAACTAACAAATTACATAAACCAGAGGGGGATTTTCTTTCTTTTGTTCTGTAGAAAACTATCCTTTTCTAAAAACCGAACAGTGGCACAACTGTTTACCGTGCGCACCAGTCCAGGGCTGACCCCTGCACAGGCCCAGCGAATGGAGGGCTGCATGTGACCCAGTGTGTTTTCGTTCTGAGTCGGGGCTGGGGTCGGGGGGACCCCCAGCCCCTGGTCTGCAGTTCCAGAACACTCGGGCCTCTGGTCCCCTGGCATTATCCTCAGCTAATGCAGTGAACAGTGATGGTGTGCTGGTTAGAAATTAGGGTCTTTTCAAGAAATAAGTCCACTCCGCTGCCCACTCTTTGCCAAATGCCACTAAGGGATTTAGTTTTAAGGAGAAAGGGAAAAAAAAAAGTCCTGTTTTGCTTTGCAGAAGAAATGAACTTGCAGGTGAGCATTAAGCCTACAGTGGGAAATGTGTGAAAAGTACGAAGCAGAGTCACTATTTTCCTAAAATACCCTTGATTATTTTCAGCCTTGCTCTGTATAATCAGATCTACTAGACATGTGTGAGTGAGAGGAAATAGCATACAAACTGATTTTTATATACACACACACACAGAATCTAATATATATATATATGTGTATATATATATATATATATATAAAAGCTTAGATTGTAATTGTACAAGTGACATGATGGAAGTACAAGATAGGGCAGTTATGACTTTTTCCCCCTCATCTTTCTGCTTCTATGGATTTCATTTTCTTTGGTTTTCAAAAAGTTAATGGTGCTGTATAGGTGCTTTCTGTTTAGCCAGGAAAGTGTGATTATATCATTACCCTCTTCGATAGAATAGTTGGGAACACCTTGGGTACACACGAAAAACTGGTGTAATGAAGCTCTGACGAGCGCAGCGTATGCAAACTTCTCCAAAGTGATAGATGAAGACTCTTTTCTTTGCATAAAAAGCATTAGGTATATAAATGTATAAATAAATTTTATCATGTACAGTACAAAAATGGAACATTCTGCATGGACGTTAGGAACACAGGCTAGTAGTTCAGCACAGACCTCCCTGCATGAGTTTCGCTGATGCTCGCACCGTGCAGTGGGCACCGACTCCCTCCCACCATAGACATGCCACCCGACCCCTGCGCCTGCCACCTGCCGCTAGGGGCCCCCTTGTGCACCTCTGCTTCCTAATTCCTCTGGGGGTGATACTGGTGGTGAGAACAGCTCCTAGCATAATGGAAGTTCCATTTGGTATTGTCACACGGCTCCCCCGCCTCGCTTGGGTTCTCATGTTTGAGTGATGGCCCTGTTGATTTCACCCTGCGTTTTACTGAATCTGTAAATTGTCGTGCGGTTGTGGTTATAGTAGGCCTGTAGCATATCGCCTTTTCTAAACTGCTACACGTTTTTAATCTTCATTTTAAAAGTATGTATAATTTTTAAAGGTGTGTATTCTCTTCATGTGGTCCGCTGGTCCGTGAGACAGACTTCGGCTTACCGTATCCCTTTATAACGACGCTAGCCACTTCCTTGATTCTTCAGTAGTCCGCTGTACACAGGAGCTGTCGGTGTCGTTGAGAGAAGACTGCCTCGCTGGGTTCGTAGCTGATGCCGCCCTGACGGGGATGCCGCTGGGACACAACTACAGCCACTGCGGGGAGGGAGATGGGGAGGGAGGGCAGCGAGGAGGAGAATCCCCAGTGCTTGCAGCATGAGGGCCCTGAGAACTTCCCTCCTGAACGGAAAGAAACAGCAAACTAACAAAACAGCTAGTCTGCCTTTTCAGTTTTATAGACCCCGGGAGCTACTTTGGGAGTAAAAAGAAAAAACAACTCCCAAGTAGGTTTCAACCCATGTTGACTTCCTTTCAGACATGTGGCATCTCATTTATTATTCTCTTTTTCTCAGCGTTTGTTAGGTTTCAGGCAGAATGTCTTACAAAATGCCCTGGAACCAGATTATAATTTAATCCGAAACAGCTGAGGGAGGGACGAGGAGGTCTGGGAGCAGGGCAGCCGCAGAGCACATCAGGAAAATGGAGGGGGAGGGGTGCTTTGCATTTGTTGGGTTTTTTGTTTTTTAACAATGCAGATAGTATCTACGTGTAGAGCATTGTGGAGAGCTGAGATCAGGACAAAGCCGAGTGCCAGCATCAGTTTCGAGAGGGACTTGGAACAGTCAGGCCCATCCAGGATCACGGCAGCGCCCCTCTCAGCCTCGGCCACTGCCAGCTGGCCTCCCCCCCCCACCCCCAGGCCAGGCTCCCCTGGAGCCACCAGGAGGTGGTCACACAGGGCGGAGGGCGGCCGCCTGAGACCTCCGTCTCTTACACGGAGACTCTGCTTTCAGCAAGGGCCAGCGGTCAGCCAGCATGTGGAGTTCTGAGTGTCACGAGTTGTAAGTTTTCTGATCTGAAGCGTCCCAGTGGAATACTTGGCCTCCAGGGGCCTGGCGGCTGTAATGTTCGCATCCTGCTGAGAACTATTCCAGGTTATCTCCAGCCTCTAAATAAGCTACTCTGGGGAGCCTTCCACTTTTTGACGGGAAATTAAAAAGAAGAGTAACTAATGTTGAAAACATGACATGCACTCTGGGGTTCTGTTGTTCTCTCTTCAGGCTCCAGCACCAGATACCTTGTACCAAAGTTAGAAAAGAGCTTTATAAGCCTTCCCTCTCCTGCTGTGTGAGCTGCCTGCCAGGTTCAGCGCCCCCGTTAACTGTGAATGAAGCTGAGCCCCAGCTCCCTCAGTGCATCCCCTCGCAATGGGATGATTGCTGAAACACAGATTTTTTAAAAAATGTCTGAAGTTTGTCTTTCCTGTTAACAGGATTGTGCACACATGTGTGATACAAGGTGGGCTGTGTGTGTGTGTGTGTGTGTGTGTGTGTGTGTTTGGTGTTGAGTTTGGGTGTTCTGTGTGTGGCATTTGACCACCCTGTGGGGAGGCCCTCATGACTCACAGCTCAGGACAGCTCTGCCCAGTCTCAGGGCGACCTTTCAGGTGGCTTCCAGTCTTGTTGAAGACGGTAGGGACAGCCGTGGCCTACACCCAGTGGACCCTGCTTACGGAAGAAGGACCGTTGGAATCTCTTGGGGAGACCACCAAGAGTACAGCAGTCAGGCAGCCAGTCCTGTGTCGCATGCTGATGCTATGGGCTGCTAAATGGAAGTGCGAATGTCACCCTTTCTCTCTGAAAGCAGAAGCAAAACCGTGATAGCTTGAACTCTGATTTCCTTTTTCTTGATGAATTTGGGGAACATTGTACGATTAGGCATACTGTTGTATTTTTTAGTTTAGCAGTTTTTTTGTAGAAATGCAATCACTGACAGAGGTACGAAAAAGCCAGCCTCTCCTGAAGACTGGGGGCAGCAGGCACAAATGAGGGGATAGCACAGGCCTTGTGAAATCATGTCTGCACACGAGATCTTGACACAGACGCCCAAGAAACTGAAAAGAGTCTTTGATCTGAATTGTCGGTGGGTAACATTTTATGCAGTTTGAATGAATGAAATATTTTCCTCTGGTTTTATTTGTGTGTATTTTTCTTTGATGAATGATTGGTTCTGAGGCCTCTGCCACACTCCAGAATTATGTGTGTGGCTGCTTTAAAAACCTGTGTGTCTGGTCACTTATTTCTCTAAAATTATCTCATTGCCTGGCAATCAGTCTTCTCTCGTATACTTGTCCTAGCACATTATGTACACGGGAAATGTAAACGGATGTGAAGAAGGACCAGAAAAATTAGTTAATATTAAAAAAATACATTGTGCATTTTGGCTTTACATGTTTAACTTTTTTAAAAAAAAAGTTGCATGAATGGAAAAAAAAATCTGTATACAGTATCTGTAAAATTGTCTTACCTGTTCCAATTTCTTGCTCATACCCCACTCAGACTAGAATTAAATATGGTGCATGGCCCTCTTCAGACACCCGAGAGACCAGCGGTTGATACTTTGAAGCACCTCACCCTTTCTCTCCAAGCGAACACTATCATATTGCATTCTTACTGAGGATTTTGTCCAACCATATGTTGCCATGAATTAACTCTACCACCTCTCTTCTCAAGAATCAAAATCAGTTTGATTTGGGAACCTTCCCCTTTCCAAATGAAATAGAGACACAGTACTTAACTTTTCTTGGTGTTTGTAGATAATTGCCTTGTGTATTCCATTTAAAACCGTAATCTAGTTTGTAAAAGAGATGGTGACGCATGTAAATAAAGCATCAGTGACACTCTGTCTCACTCCAAGAAGTCTTTTGTTCTCCCTTCCCCTTTCTTGAACTCCTGATGAGAAAGGCTGCATTTCTGTCAGGGTCTTCCGGTGGAATGACTTCAATGACTTCACGGGCTGGGAGAGGCATAAAGCTGAGATGCTCTGTCCTGAGCCCTCTAAACGGAGTGATCTAGCAAACTTTCTCTCCAGCCAACTTGTGAGCTCTACAGCCAGACAGTTGAATAAAAGCAGGTCCGATCTATGGCCTTGTTCATGGTGGCAGATGGTCGCTTGGGTGTGCCTGGCGGCGTGCTGTCCAGGAGGGGCTTTTAGGTAGGGAGCCGGATTTAGACACTCTGCCTTCACGGAGTGTCAGAGATTTTGACCTATCAAAGCTTAGGCTCCAATAAGTTCCCCTCATGTCAGTGCTACGAGTGAATATCGGTCACCAGAGAGCCCTCCTGCATATTGAAAATCAGGTTCAGTATTTCAGGCCTCCGCTGGCAACAGCAAAACTAGTTGCTCCGTGGGAACACTGAGGGCCTCTCAGTAAAGTGAGGAGGAACCCCACGCCATGGTCAAACTACCCCTCATAGCTTGGGTGATAGTCTTCATTGTAATAGATGTAAAAATTACTCCGCTTTGAGAAATTCCCTGGGATTGGGTTCCAAGTCCCAGGGAACACGATGGACTCCATTCAGATCAAGTGAGTAAATACTGAAAAGTCTGCCCTTTGGGAAAAAAAAATAATAGTTTGCCCTTCAGGATAAATTTTATATTGGTGGAGAGTCATGCTTTCTGAAGTGTCCTTTCCGCGGTTGTAATTACCTATGAAGGCAGAACCTCACCATCTTCTAACGCCAAAGCCAAGTGGGAGAAAGTTATTTCACTTGGGATCGCTTCTCAGCTTTTACTTTGTTTCCCAAAAGATTCAAGATGGAAACCTAACACTAGTTCTCATCAGTCTCAACAGAGAGTCTCCCAAACCAAGTAGAAATTCAACCAAAAACTAATTAAAGTTAATGATCAACAATTAACTAAGTGAAGTGTGGCCGTGGGCCAGACTCTGTGATGAGCACCAGGAGAACCAGGCTGTGGGCCCTGCCCCCAGGAGTTTGTATTCCAGGTGTGTCTGCTCCACTTGGATGCGTAAAGGGCTAACTCTTGCG